TAAAAAAAAAAAAAAAAAAAAAATTATTTTTAACTAGCCAGGCGTGGTGGCGTGCACCTGTAGTCCAGACTACCGGGGAGGCTAAGGTGGGAGAATATAGTCTGAGCCCAGGAGTTTGAGGCTGCCATGAGCGATGATGGCACTACCACCCTCCAGCCTGAGTAACATAGCAAGATCTTGTCTCAAAAAATAAATTAAAAATACACAAAAGTCCGACACAACCATGCGGGGAGGTGGAGCGGTCACTGAAGTTTTTCTCAAATGGGAAGGGTAAGAGAAGTCAGTGAGATGAGGATCTGGGGCCTGAGCTTCTCCCCTGTGGTGAGGGCCCATGACAGACACCTGGGAGGCACGGATATACCAGATGGCCGGAAGACTTGGATTCATTTGGTTGATTCCTTAGATTCCTCCACCTACAGAAATCAGTGCCTCCCCCCACCGGCTGTGGCCACCATCATATTGGGGCAGGAGGTTGCTCTGCAGCACAAGGAGTACTATGGTAAAGGACTATACCTGAGGTCCTGCTCCCACCCAGAGCTTGTGGAGGACATGGAAGATGAGCATCAGGATGGTGAGAGCCTGGGCAGGCCAGCCTAGGGGGCAGGAGGGCTGGGAACCCACAGCCTGATAGGTACCCCGGCCCTGATCCCTGATTCTAGGCTCCACAAGCTTGACCTAGGTGATTGAGAAGGCTGTAAGCACTGAGGTCCACCTACTGGACCACATGGGAGGCCCCTTTAGGGATCACAAGGCCACAGAGAGCTCCCTGATGGTGACAATGACACCATTGCAGCCTGTTGAGGGCACCAGGCCGCTATCTCTGTGGGACTGTCTCTTGGCCAGCTCCCATCTCCCAGCCCTCCAATTATTTCAGGCCAGTACATCGGCAACAGGTGGAAGGAGAGGCCCTGAACAGCCTCGAGTCCAAGGTCCACATTGGACAGGAGAGGAACCAGGGAGACTCAGAAGGGGTTGAGACCCCCTCCAGCTTGGCACCACCCACTGGCTCCATGCCTCCTCCTTAACTCCTCTCTGCCACGCCACCCCACTCCAAGTATTTCTCTGTCCTTCCAAGACAGTGAGTCTCAAATGGTATCCAGCTGGTGGCTAGGGGGCTGAGCTGGCAAAGCCCAGGGAGTTCAGAAAGGGAGAGTGGAGCAACCCCAACCCCTCAAGCCAGAACAAGCACAGCCTGACAGACTAAGCCTGGGCAGAGGCAAGGGGATGCTCGCACTGGCCAGGGAGGTAGAGGAGCTGAGTGGGGAGGTTCTAGGGGATTCGGGGTCACATGAACAAGATCCCATGCCTGCTGCAAGAAAGCCATGAACTCAAACTCTTCTCTCCAGATGAAACCCTGGGACTTCGATGGACTCAAGAAAAAGAAAGCAAACAATGGAAACGGGCTGGTTTGGGGCAGAGTGGGGGCAACCTTCCCTTCCTGGCCACCCTATGAGTGGACGATCAAGAGCAGAAGAGCAAGGGTCTGGGAGCTGTGAATCGGGTGCTCAGGCTGGGCCTGCTCAGTTGTTGAGGACAGAGGAGGAGGAAGGGGAGTTCACACACAGGAGCTATGAATATGAGGGCAGAGCGAAGAAAGCTGGGAGCAGTCCGGGGCACTGGACTCCACAGGAGCCTAGCATCACGAGAAGGCCCAAGCTGCTGCAGGATGACAATGACTGATGCAATTAATTTAGTGAACCAGCTGGGCACAGTGGCTCGCGCCTGTAATCCCAGCACTTTGGGAGGCCGAGGTGGGTGGATCACCTGAGGTCAGGAGTTCAAGACCAGTCTGACCAACGAGGTGAAACCCCGTCTCTACTAAAAATATGAAAAATTAGTGGGGCGCCGTGGCAGGCACCTGTAGTCCCAGCTCCTCGGGAGGCTGAGACAGGAGAACTGCTTGAACC